TAAGTTATAAACTAAATTAACTTATCAAAAATACTAATTAATTCCTAGAAACAATTATCATACATAATTAAACACCAATTAAAACAAAATTGCACAATTTGACATCGAATGCTAAAAATGCAAACGATGCATATTTTTGTAATTTTCATTCTTGTAAAACAAACTTAATTACTTCTAATTGTAGACTTACATCCTAAATGCAAATGCGGCATATTTTTGTATTTTTTATTAATTTAACAAATAAACATGCATGGACAAATACAAATAATTTATAAAAAATGCCACGAAAATTCTCAAAATTGCACACAAAGGAAAATTGTTTTATTTTGAATTTTTTGGGAGTAATTCTCACATAGGGCAAAAATCACGTGCTTACAAGCCTCACGGTTCGGTCCCATCAATACAAAAATCCAAAATTTCCCAGACTCGAAGAAACTGGGTCAGAAGTTGTGGTTTTGCAAAAGATCTGATTCCAAAAGTTATAATTTTGAACCCTGTTATTTTACTTTTTTTTAAGTCGGCATGCCGCCTTTTCTTTCTAAACCCGTCCAAAAGCCCGCACCCTAGTTCAAAGAAAGACCTTCCGATCAATCTTTGAAATATGCTAAGTTAAGCAAGGGTAACACTTTTGTTCAGAAGCACAAGGAAAAATGAATAAATGAGAGTCTTATTCGTGAAAACATTCACGGGCACCGTAAGGCGATGGAAAGTTGAGGAAAAACTAAAATGAGAGAGTTTTATTGGTGAAAACCCTCGTGGGAACCGTAAGGCGACAGTGAGTCGAGAGATGAACAAATGTGAGATTGGATTATGAAAAATCCCGGTTTTGAAGTATGGAGAAAAGGCACAAAATGAAATATGATTAGGTGAACGATCTGGGCTGATTAATCCAAAATGCATGTCATAATCATTGGAGTTAGCTGCTTCACTCAGATAAGTCTCTTTTCCACTCTTCCTCAAATAGTCATCTCTGTCTAAAATTTCCTCTTTGTCTTTGTTTCTCGAAGTCACTTTGCTTCGTTTTCTTTTGGGGCTACTTCTCTAAGTCTTTTTCAATGTTATCCTTGTTAAGCAAGCGAGAAAGGATTTCAAAGCTTATTACCAGCTTTCTATTGCACAAAGCAAAGTGCGTCCAAAGCATACCAGAAATAGCACGATTCAAAATGAGAAATAAGATGTTAGGGGGAGTTCAAGTGGTCAAGTGGTTTCGTGAATTTTGCGGAAATACAGAGGTTCAAATTGGAAGGATAGAAATGTAAAACAGCAAGATGGGTGTGGGGCACTCGAGTCATTCGGGGTTCTGTGGTTGAGGTTCGATCAGAAGGTCAAACAATTCTTTGCTAGCCTAAGACAGCTAATTGGAACAAAGCATGGCAGTGGAAAGACCACCTTCAGCAAGAATGCCATAAACTAACGACCACATTTTTAAACTGATAAGATTTTCTTTGATTGAAACAGGGGCATGAATTTTCGTATTCTAGAGGAAACCTCCGTGAGGAAAGCGTGCACCAAATAGGTTCGAAGCGTAATTTTTCAGGACCCTCCTGGATAATGGGATTTAATTTCAAGTTCTCAGGACCCTCCTGGATAATGAGATTTAATTTAAAGTTCTTAAGACCCTCCTAGATAATAGAATTTAATTTAAAGTTCTCAGGACCCTCCTGAATAATGGGATTTAGACCCAAGTCCGCCAGGACTCTCCTAGATAATGGGATTTAGTTTTAAGTTTTAAGACTTTCATAGATAATGAGATTTAGAGTAAGTTTTACCTTTAGGAAGTAGAATTTAGCTTTGAAGTTTTCACTCTTAAGATGAGATTTTATTTCAAATTTTTTAGGGCCCTCATGGATAATGGGATTCAGATTTTAAATTCTTATAGCTCTTTTGGATAACAATATTCGATTAAATCTCACAGATGTTCCCTGTACCAAACTGCGTAGAAAAGTTTCTTTTGTTTTGTTTGTTTTGTCAAAATGCAGGCGCCCACTTGAAGAATAAGGGAATTCATTTTGAGTTTAAGTTACAGGCGCCCACCTGGAGGGAATTCATTTCAAGTTTAAGTTACAGGCACCCACCTGGAGAACAAGGGAACTCATTTCGAGTTTATGTACAGGCGTCCACCTGAAGAACAAGGGAATTCATCTCAAGTTTAAGTTACAGACACCCACCTGGAGAACAAAGGAATTTATTTCAAGTTTAAGTTACAGGCGCCCACCTGGAGAACAATCGAATTTATTTCGAGTTTAAGCATCAAGCGTCCACCAGAAGAACAAGGGAACCCATTTCAAACTTAAGTTACAGGTGCCCACATGGAGAACAAGGGAATTCATTTCAAGTTTAAGTTACAAGCGCCCACTTGGAGAACAAGAGAATTCATTTTGTTTAAGCATTAGGTGCCCATCTGAAGAACAAGGGAATCCATTTCAAGTTTAAATTGCTGGCACCCACCTGGAAAACAAGGGAATTCATTTCAAGTATAAGTTACAGGCGCCCACCTAGAAAACAAGGGAATTCATTTCAAGTTTAAGTTACAGGCACCCATCTAGAGAACAAGGCCATTTATTTCAAGTTTAAGTTGCAGGAGCCCACCTGGAGAACAAGGAAATTCATTTCAAGTTTACGTTACAGGCGCTCACTTGGAAAATAAGGGAATTTATTCAAAATTTTAAGTCAGCATCAGTTATAGGCGCCCACTTGGAGAACAAGGGAATCCATTCAAGTATTAGGTCAAGTAGCAGGCACCCACCTGGAGAACAAGGAAATTTACTTCAAGTATCAAGTCAAGTAGCAGGAACCTACCCGGGGAACGAGGGAATACATATCAGAGCTAAGCCCAAGACAACAACAGGAACCCACCTGAAAAGTGGGGTCAATTCAAGTTAGGAATAATAGAAGCTCGCCTCAAGAGTGCGAGTCAACAGTTTGAGATGCACGACAGAACTACAGAAGTTTCAAGATCAAGTTTGAAGACATATAGATAGGAATCTTGTAACTCATAGATCATAGATTTGCCTAGCTTCTTTTCATTTTGGTTTCGGTGTAATAAGGAGTTCAGCAACTAGTAGTAGCGGCAGCAACAGTAAAAGCATAACTTCCCGGTAGTCCCAACTACCAAAACTTCCAGAAGTACACTGACCTGATTCCTTTATAGCCAAGGATATGTAGGCAACTTCAGAAGCAAGGTTCGGTCATATTATTCAAAAATGCTTCCCGCGGAATATCCAAACGGGCAAAAATTGCTCGTATTCGCTCACTTTATCTTTGCCCGAAAACTCTTCGTATTTCTAAGCAAAGAGGGACAGCTGTGAGCATGTGATTTTTGCCCGACCAAAATACTCCCACAAAATCACAAAATAGATTTTTTGTAGTTTACTTCAATTTTATAGAATCTTTAGGAATATTTGTTTAATTGTTTGCATTTTTGTTGCATATTTGCATATATTAAAAGCATAGAAAATACCCAAAAAATATGTTTAAATCTCATTCATTGCATTCTAGGTTGATAGTTGCATTTTTAGTTTAATTGTCATTTAATTGCATCAATAAAACAAAAGCAAAAAATTATATAAATTATTCCATTTTAGCTTTAGTTTTAGAAATTAGTATTGTGCTTTCTGTAGTATTAAATTAATTAATTATTTAGTATTAAAAATAGATAATTAAGTTAATTTTACATTTCTAGGTTGGTTTAGGATTTAATTTAGTTTTTAAAATTGTAAATTAAAAAGAAATCAAGTCAAAGAAAAAAGAAGAAAGTAAAATCTGTTTTGGACCCGAAATTGGGCCAAAACCATTTCTGAGCCCAATCCACACCCTGATCCACCCAGCCCAATCCCATACCCGGTCCAGCCCCACCCCTTACCCAAAACAATGCCGTTTTGAGGCATTAAATCCCAAGCATTGATCTTTGACGATCCAACAGCTGGGAACTCACTTCCCCCCTCCCTTATATANACCCTAGCCGCCGCCCGCCGAAAATCATTTCACGGCGGCGGCTGGTCTCCAAACACATCCAAATTCACACCATACAATCATCCTTTTCACCTCTTTCCGAATGCATAATTGGTTTCCCTAAATTCCCCATCGAACATTTCCAATTTCAGATATGAGAATCAAAAAAGAAGGTCTAGTTTTACATGTTCGAGTTTCTTGCAAATCCAATTTCGTTTGGTTTAAAACTCACCCAAATAGATTGTTCTTGACGAGAACAATCATTTGAAGTCAGGTTCAAGCCATTTCGAAGTCAACCAAGAGCCTGGCTTCAGCTCATCCTTCTCATTGGGTATTTCCTAATCTTTTTGGTTCTATTTTTGGTGTTTTGTTTGTCCTAAGAAAAAATTAAAAAAAAGAATAAAAAAACAGTGATTATTTTTATTTTTTGTTCAATTATTGTTTGTTTAGCTTGTTATTTCCTTCTTTGATTAATTAACAAATCTATTTGTAGTTCATTAATTAGTTCAATTTGGGTTCTTAACTATTTAGGATAGATTCTGATGATATTTTCTTTTCTTGCTTTTGTTCCTCCTTTTCTTTCTTTTTCATAATTGGTGTTTAGTTTGCACGCTTTAGGTTATCTACAGTGTTTTGTGTTGTTGTTATTTGTTTGACTCGTTTGCCTATGCTAGCCATCAAACCTGTTCGTTTCTGAAGAGCCTTTGTGGAGTTTATCATGAACTTGGTTCATTTTAGGGTTTAGGTTTAATTTTAAGTTTTTAGATGTTTAAAATTTAATTACACTGTCTAGCTTTGTTGTTTTCTATTTAATTTGTCTATTGATATTGGCTTATTTATTTCTGTTTGCCTTAATGTGTAAATCAGTAGACATTTGTAGGGGTTGAATTGAACAAAGAAAATACTTAAGGGGTTTGTTTGAAGGTTGGGTAGATAGGGAATTCAGATAAGGCATTAGGAAGCTTCGAGAACCTGGGCAGCTGGCTTTATTTGGTCAGTATAAAATACTGAAACCAATGAGAGGATGTCAGCTATCCAATTCTGTTAAACATATGCTTTTGAGGGCTGCTTTCAAAGGGAATTATTCCCTGACTTGGAGAGCAGATAACAGCCCTCTTAGAGTATAAATAGGACCTCTTCTTCACTCATTAGGAGAGATTCAGAACCCTAAAACACTATAAAAAGGTTCAACACTGTTTCATTAGTAGCTAGTTCTATTTCTTCTTATTTTCTTTCATAAAAAAACATAGAAAAACTTTCTCTGGATTTCTGGTTCTCTGAGAAATGACTTGATATGAAGCTAGTTTGATTAATATTGATGTTCCCTACTGCTGAGTCCATTGTTTTCCGCTACTCCTTGCTGATTTCTGAACACATTTTCTTTTTGATTGTTGTATCCAGGTAACCCCCTTGAAACCTTGAGCTGCAAATTAAATGTGAAGATATGTTTGTTTTGAAACTAATACAACCATGTCATGTTTAGTAGTTAGCTCTTATGTTTTGCTAACTAATATAATTCTTTCTCTGGTTTATTAATATCATGTGTTGGCTTTTATTAGTAGATGTAAATTTGTGTTTGGTGCATAAGTTTCATGTGATGTATGAACCTTTTGTCTTTATGTTGTAATTTCATCAATTGTTAAATGCTGAATTTGGTTCTACTTGAATTTTGATGTCGACTGAATCCATCAGTTTTTGTGGCAATTAGTTAAAGATATCAATTGAAATCTCTTTGAGTTCTTACATGCGTAGGTATCAGAACACAGTCATTTTGTTAAGAATAGATAAGTGATTGGACAAATTTTCATCATTCAATCCGTTAATGTTCTTTTAATATGCTTGAATCCAGGTAGACTAAGTCTAATTTTCTTGAAATTGAGGGTTAAAACTCTACGGCTCTGAATCTATAGGTAGCAGCTTTAGTTCAATATCATGCTTAATGGTAATCAAAGTGTTGGAGTGTAACTTGCAAAGTTTCCTGTTGTTGTTAAATTTTCAGATTTGTACTACTGCTTTCTGATGCTTTAATTGAGTTAACTGTTGTAAAAGACCCAACAAGGGAATCATGAGGGCCATCCAGTTTGGACTTTGGATTTTATCCATTGGAATCCATCCAGCCCATTAGCCTTTGGCCCATCCCTTTACTTGATATTATCATGTGTCATGTCTCAAGTAAGATCGATTCCCGTCTGACCAATTTATTAGACCATTGCTTTAGTGCAAACTTGTTAAATTGGCATTATTATCATTTGCTATGTACTGCAATTGCCATTTAAATGTTGCTTTAAACGCACTTGTTTGAAATCAAGAAAGCAGTACATTTCAAACTCAGTCCCTTACGTACCAATATTTTGCCAAAAACAAATCCAGAGCCCATGGACCTCATCATTTTATCCTGAATATTAGTTCTAACACGAACCCTCGTAGTTTTCTTTAGGCGCATTATAATAAATTATCATAGCTACGGGTACGGTTCCCGTAATGTAGTTGCAATATATAATTTCCAAAATCTGGGTGTACATTTCATGTGACCCGACTTCAATTTTCAATAATGTTAAATAAAAATAAATATGTCATGAACCGCGGGTGCATTTCATGTAGCGTGGTTTACGATGCGTTTTCAAAAACAAACAAGTGTATGTCGATCATGAATTTTCCTAAAATACAGTAAAAGCAGTTAGAAAGTTAAAAATGCATGTAGGTTTAAAATATGTAATTGATTAGTTAATTAGGCCAATTATTAATAGTTGAGCAACTGTGCTAAAACCACGGAACTCGGGAATGCCTAGCACCTTCTCCCGAGTTAACAGAATTCCTTACCTGGATTTCTGTGTTTGCAGACCACAAATAAGAGTCAACTTCCTCGATTCAGGATTTTAAACCGGTAACTTGGGACACCATAAATTATCCCAAGTGACGACTGTGAATTTGAATAAATAATCTCGTTTCAATTTTTGTCACTTTAATTGGAAAAACTTCCCTATACCCCTTTCGGGGTAGAAAAAGGAGGTGTGACAAATATAATACTGCAGGGTGTGACTTCATCGTAATATAATACTGCGGGGTGTAATATCGATGTAATACTGTGGGGCGTAACATCATTCCCCCCTTTGGAACATTCGTCCTCGAATGTTGACTGATGCACTTATCATTCTCATAATCCATATCTCTTGCGAATACTTTAATATTCTCCTTTTCATTTAGGTAATTTTTCTTTGAATAAATCCAAAGGCCAGGGCATTCCCCCCTTTAAGCCTCTTTCTCACATCACAACTTGAAGCAGCTGAGTATGGCTCCATATTTGCCTTGATAGCACAGTCTAATGATGATGAAGACGACGATGATGATGATGAGGTAAACTTTCTAGATGTTCAAAGAAATCTAAAGTCTTTTTCTATGAAAAAACTTATGTCTTTGGCAAATATTTTAATTGATGCTTATCACATTCTCATAAATGATAAAGATGCATTAATTGTGGAACTAGGAGAAGAAGAACAGTCTAGAGATGATCTAGTAATCGTTGTAGTTAATTTAAAGGAAACAATTGAGAGTCTGGAGAAAGAAAAAGATGCCTTAGCTGGAAAAAAGTGCAAGCATAGAACATGAGAGATATGATCTAGTAGTTGTTGTGAAGAGACCATTGAATGTGTTAAAAAGGAAAAAGAAGTTTTAATTGAGAGAGTTTCTAACATTGAGCACGAGAGAGATGACCTATTAGTAGTGGTGGTAGACCTAAAGAAAACAATTGAGGAACTTAAAATGGAGAATAGGCCTGGGAATAGTCAAAAGGGAAAGAAAGTTGCAAGTGAGGCACATCTTAAGATTGAAAATGAGTTAAAATTAGTAAAATCTAGTTTGTGTGATGAGCTTGAGAAAAACAAACAACTTCAGGAAGAACTAGGAAGAGTCAATAGTGATCTTGAAAAATCACACAAGTGGACCTGGTCCTCTGATGCTATCACTGCCATGTACACAAACAATGGGGGAAATAGGCAGGGAATCGGGTTTCAAAGGGAATAGACTCCCTACAACCCTCACAGCCAGTACGTCATTGTACCTGACAATTGGCTATGCACTCACTGTGCTAACCCTAGGCACTTTAAGGAAACTTGTTAGGCCAAATTCAAATCTCAATAGAAAAACAAAGTTTTTGCTAAAAAAGTAACTACTATTAGGGAACCTAGTCCTTTACATAAAAAATGTATAATGCCTGCTTGGATTAAAAGAGCCCTAATTCACCCCTTTCCTCTTTACAAGGGACCCAAACTTGTTTGGGTTCCTAAATCTAACCCATGATTTCCTTGTGCAGGGAACAATGAAAGGGAGCAACCACCAATGATACATGGATAGCCGATGCTCGAAGCACATGACTGGAAGTACAAATGATTTCCTTTTACTGAAGGCCCTGGAGGGAGGGAGTGTATACTTTGGAAATGGCAAAAAGGGATACATTCTGAGAATTGGAAGGATCGGTAACTCTCTTTCTCACTCTATTAAAAATGTGTACTACGTGAAGGGGTTGAAGTATAGCTTGCTGAGTATTTCCCAAATCTGTGACAAGGGTAACAAAGTCGAATTTGTATCCGAAATATGCACAGTCACAAATCTTGTGACTGGTGAAGTGGTGTTAGTGGCCAAAAGATACAAAACATCTATGTTGCTAACTTTGAGTCCTTGCAAAATGGGGATCTTAGTTGTCTGAGTGTTGTTGATGATAATGCTTAGCTATGGCACAGAAGGCTGGATCATGCAAGTTTCACGTTGCTAATCAAATTGGTCAAGAAGGACCTGGTTCGTTGTCTGCCCAAGTCAAGCTTCAAGGATCACAGGGTGTATGATGCATGTGTAAAAAGAAAGCATGTCAGATCCTCTTTCAAGCCCAAAAACGAAGTTAGCACCTCAAGGCTACTTAATATCCTCCATATGGATCTATGTGGACCTATGAGGGTGCCCAGTAGAGGAGGAAAGAGGTACATATTTGTCATAGTGGATCACTATTCCAGATTCACTTGGACTCTATTTCTCAGAATCAAGGATGAAACCTTTCAAGTGTTTGTGGAATTTGTGAAGAAGAGCCATAATGTAGTATGTACTAGGTATGACTATGGGACAGAATTTGACAATGCAAAATTCGACGAATTTTGTGTTGAAAATGGCATCACTCACAACTTCTCAGCTCCAAGAACACCTCAACAAAATGGTGTTATGGAAATAAAGAACAGAACACTTGAAGATATAGCAAGAACAATATTGATTGACAGTGGCATTGCAAAAGTGTTCTGGATAGAAGCCGTCAATACTGCATGCTACTTTGTGAAGGTGCATGATCAGGTCCCTTCTGAACAAGATACCATATGAACTGCTGAACGGAAGGAAGCCCAAACTGACACATTTGAGAACATTTGGTTGCAAATGTTTTGTCCTCAACAATGGGAAGAAAGCACTTGGAAAATTTGACGCCAAAAGTGATGAGGGAATCTTTCTAGGCTATTCATCACAAAGCAAGGCCTACAAAGTATATAACAAAATAACTCAATGTGTTGAGGAAAATCATTCATGTGATCTTCAATGAGACTCATGACCCATGTGGAAAGGATTTGAATGATAAGAATGATCAAGACGGAGAACAGTCACGTGTTCTTGGTGAAAGCATTGACATGGAAAATGGAAAGGATGATATGATGAGCCACATTAAGGAATCAAATGAGGACGGTGCAACCATATCTCCAGCTGATGGAGAGGAACCTGGTCCCTCAATCACAACAACTGAAGCTGAAAACAGAGTTGTCGATGTTGTTCAAGGGACCCCACATGCTGAGATGAGAAACAATCAAGGTTCACAGGCAAAAATACATGGACCCTCTCACAACGAGGTTCATGTGTCTAAACGGAAACACAAAAGTTTACACCCCCTTGATAACATAAACACTCCTCTTGATTCAGGAATTCAGTCCAAATCAAAGACCAGAAACTCACTTGCCTTCTCAGTTTTTCTCTCTCAAATAGAGCCCAAAAATATCAAAGAAGAATTGAAAGATGTAGACTGGATTATAGCCATGCAGGAGGAACTCCATCAATTTGAGAGGAACAAGGTATGGCACCTGGTTCCTTGACCTGCAGATCAAACCGTAATAAGAACCAGGTGGGTATTCAGGAATAAACTTGATGAGTTTGGAAACACAACAAGAAACAAGGCAAGGCTAGTAGTTCAAGACTACAATCAGGCAGAAGGGATTGACTATGATGAAACTTTTTCTCCAATCGCTCGAATGGAGGCTATCAGAATCCTTATTGCCTTTGCATCACATATGGAATTCACATTGTTCCAAATGGATGTCAAAAGTGCATTTCTAAATGGCTTTCTAAAAGAAGAAATCTTTGTAAAACAGCCTCATGGATTTGAAAATCATGAACAACCTGAGCACATTTTTAAACTCAACAAGGCTTTGTATGGGTTAAATCAGGCTCCCCGTGCTTGGTATGAAAGGTTGTCAAAATTCCTTCTAGAAAATGTCTTTACAAGAGGAAAAATTGACAACACTCTCTTTCTAAAGAAACGAGGAAGGAGCATGCTCATTGTGCAAGTCTATATTGATGATGTCATTTTGGGAGCAACAGTTGACTCCCTATGTGAAGAATTTGCAAAGGGGAACTAAACTTCTTCTTGGGCCTACAAGTAAAGCAATCTCAAAAGGGGATATTGATAAGTCAACTGAAGTATATAAAAGAGCTACTGAAGAGATTTGACATGGAAACATCAAAAATCATTGACACTCTCGTCGCCACAACTACTCGTCTAGATATGGATGAACCTGGTTCCCCTGTAAATCAGACCATGTATAGAGGTATCATAGGGTTACTTCTATACCTCAAAGCAAGCAGACCAAATATATTTTTAGTACGGGTCTTTGTGCTAGGTTTCAATCCAATCCAAAGGAATCTCAGCTGAAATCTACCAAGAGAATCTTAAGATATCTCAAAGGAACACGGGACCTGGTTCTCTACTATCCCTCAGGAGACAATTTTGATCTAGTTGGATATGTGGATGCTGACTTCACTAGGTATCTAGTGGACAGGAAAAGCACTTCTGGAATGGCACACTTTCTAGGTTCATGTCTAATTTCATGGGGCACAAGGAAACAAAAGTCAGTGGCACTCTCAACTGTAGAAGCTGAATATATGGCTGTAGCATCTTGCTATGCTCAACTGTTATGGATTAAGCAGTAGCTGGAAAATTTTGGTATGTTCTCTGAGTGCGTGCTCTTACTATGTGACAACACTAGTGTACTCAACATGGCCAAGAATCCAATCCAACATAAGAGAACTAAGCATATTGATGTGCATCACCACTTCCTTGGAGACAATGTGGAAAAAGGGTTCATTTGTATGAAATTTAGCAGCACAGAAGATCAGATTACAAACATATTCACCAAAGCCCTGAGCAGAGAACATTTTGAAAGAAATCGCCTAGCTCTGGGTTGATAAAACCCAACTAAGAACTTGGTACCTCAATGATTGGATATGAAAGAAATGTACAGGTATAATTAGCTAGAAAGTGTGCTTTTGGCAAAGTCTAACTCATCTCTATACCGTTACAGGTAGACACGCATGATGATTATAGAGCAAACTAGCAGCTAATGCATTGCACGTTGGTCTAAAAAGTGAAGCTTACACTTGCAAAAATTCATCAGGGAACTTGGTTCTCCTGACACCGATTATTAGTTTCTCTGTTCTCTCATGCACAATTTTGAATGGTTGAAATAGTGCCATGTCATCATAGTGTCAGTTTTTTTTGTCTTTTGAACCCAAGAGTCTCACCCATTAGGAAGCGACCTGACTCCCAAAACTACCGTCTTTTCTTAACTGGTCCCTTATCCCTCTTAAATATATCCCTTCACCATCACTTTCACTACTATTCACATCAAAACTCCAAAATTCCCCTTTTTGTTTCTCTTCAAACCAATATTCTCTCCTCCCCAACTCACCACTTCCCACCATGTCTAAACAACAGGGAACCCAAAATGCTCCATGTATCACCCCCATTGAGTCTTCACTTGTTAAAGCGCCAATCACAGAACCCTCACTCACCACCACTACTAGCCTAAACCCTAAGGCAGAGACACCACCTCCCTCTATTTCCTCTCCTACACAATCTAGTACTGGTTCTCATCGGAGTCACAAAACTTCAACTCCTAAGAAGTTTGTGGCTATGAACTCTCCTCCTGCCTCACCGGCAAAAATGGGTGAAAAAGATATGGTTGAAGAAGAGGAAAATCAAGAGATCACCAGTCTTCCTATGGAAGAAGGCTCTAATGCAGACCAAACTGTTGATCCTATCAACGCTGACTCAGCAATGTTAGTTCCTAGTCTTGAGTCGACAGGTAATGCTCCTCCTTATCTTGAGTTTTCCCTAGAGTTACAAGAAAAAAAAAGCAACAAAAAACATGTTGTCTATAGCTGATGAAGGGGTTGTTATCGAGGAAGGTGAGAATGTGTCTAAGTCTTAGGGGGAAGAAACTAAGATCTTAGTGGAGAATAGGGAGCTTGTACCCGTTGAACCATCAGCACCAGACAATGCTACTAGGGAACCTAATGAGGGACCTGATCCCTCCTATGAGGATCCAACTCAGGGGTCCTCTCAAGAACCCCAGGTCAGCACTGATCCTGCTCCGTCTCCTCATTTCTATGCTAAGCCTATGGCTGTGATTATGCCTGAGATAAGATCAGTATCTGAAGAAGAAAATAGGGATAGTGAAGAGGATTCCGATGATGTGTCGATTGCTAGCTTGTCTAGGCATAGACCAGTAGTTACTCAAGAGCCAACTCCTAAAAGACCTACTACTAGTCACTGAATGAGAAAGTTGTACATGTTGTTACTATGGATGAGGAACCTGGTTCCTTGACTCGTAAGCCCTCACAGAAGCACTCAATCTCCAAGTCTAAACGGGGATCCTCTAAGAGTGCTGAGAATTTGAACAAGGTTGAAAGTGATATTTCAGGTGAAAAGTTAGTGGAAGAATATGTAGACAAGGTGATTGAAGAATTAGGTGAAAATTTATCTGAAAAGATAGTGTTCATGAAGTCTGGTGAGAAGGGAAAAAGTGTTCGCAGGTTTGTTAAAAGGAAAGTTGATACCGATGAGGAACCTGGTTCCTCCAAGAAGGGCAAAGTTGATGATCCCCAGATTGCTCGGAAAGAGAAATTGAGAACTCAAAAGGTATTATGGGGCTGTACATTTGCCCCTGACATTTTGGAGGAGACTGGAATGCGACAATTGGTTGAAATTTGTGAGTTTCAATAATGACACATTTGTGCACAGGTGATGATCCAAAGTATATGAGGAGGAAGCGCGTAGCTTCTATGCTTTCTTCAAAGTTGAACATATATGCATGCTAGTGAATGGGGTCGACTTTGTGATAGACTCTGCTGTGCTAGGGTCTATTCTGGGTGTACCTACTGAAGGGTTGTCTAC